TTTCCCTATGGATTATGTCCTTCTCTAGCTTAATTTCTAAATATATATAACAAATCATTTTCCACAACAAAAAAAGCCAATATATGTGGCAGGGTATTTCCAGTCCTGAGAACAGAAGATCCCTTGTCTGTCCAACAGAAGATGGCTGTCCCCATCCATGAATTTAACCATGGTTCACTGAAGCCCATAGCACGAGGTATTTTACAAATATTTCTACTAGTAAAAATGCAGAATAGAAAAATAGTCCATGCAGCAGAGCCCTTACAATCCAAGTATGATACAAGAGACATAAGCTCAGGAGAGCACACAGAAACAATGAGACTAACAGTCTAGTTAAAAAGACTCTGTAATAGTCTATATATTAAAAAGGGCAGTTAATCTTTTCTGAGGGTTAGAATTGTTAAAGTGGAAAGCTTAAAATTTGACTTAAGATAAACCACGTGCATAAGACAGGTACTTTTGCAAAATTTCTAACCTCGTAACAGGCAGAAGACATAGAAAGGTACAATAAAAATGGCTGGACTCTAGTAACACAGTAGCTTGTTTTAATGGATGACCTGATAGTTATGCCAAGCACCGGAAGGAATGACATTTAGAATTCATTCCAGGTAACCTGGTGTAGGTGCAACATCAGCTGGTGGATACCATGGAAGGAGATAAATATCCACAGTTTCTGATCTAGGAAAGACAGAGCTTAATTACCTTCCCTAGCCTGTTCGAAGCATTTTGACCCCTTTAGAGATGGAACCCCAGTAACTTTACAATTGTAGGTTGTACAGATCTAAACAAAAACCTAAGGTAAGCAAAACTCAACCTGTCTTGCAGATAGCGCTCAGACTCCAGAGAGCAAAGTGCAGAAGGCTCTTGTTACACCTTCCCAGACACCACAGAGGTGAAAAACAGGTTTTGCTGGTGATTGCCACCACTGCTCTTCATTTTTCAGAGTGAACACACAGTCCTTGAAATGCCTACCTATTAGACGGCGTGGATGCCACTTCAGGAAGTGAGGGAGTAGAAAATAAACTGGTCCCATTCTTTTCTTTAGTCTCAGCATGTATTAATTTGTCATCTTTGTGTCTTCTTTCCCATTTCTGCTCTTCATCTCTTGACAGAAGGCTTGCTGAAGATGCAGCCAAGAAGCTGCTGCCTGTATCAAACAAGAAACACAACCATATCAACTCAACCTTTTACGTTTAGGCTTTGGAGACTACAGTGATTAAAAACAATCCTGGAACTGCCTTAGTCTGTCCCGTCCCTAAGGAATTAAGTATAAAGGACGTGGTTAAGGCAAAGTGGCCCAAATATGAGCACTCCACTCTACTTCGGCCTGAAAAGTTACCACATACAGGAATCTAAATGTTTCAGGGCTACTAAAATTTGCCTTCCTATCAAAACTCTTGGACAGGTATTAGTCTCCTGGGTTAGCTACTTGGATCAAAGTTCAGAGACCTAAAAAAAAAGCCCAAGGACCATACAGAGATTGGAAATAAAGTGATCATACAAATAGCAGCAGGAAAAAAAAAAAAAAAGCTCAACACACACATACACTCCCCATTCCAAAAACTTAAAATGAAAATGTTTAGACTGCATTTATATAAGTCACTGAAATTGCAAGATAAAAAAGCATACAGTCTAAACACATTTATGAGAAAGAATAAGACAAGAACTTATTTCCTTCCACAGTGACAACAGATCAAAAGAGAAAAACACAAGTTTGCAAGGTGAAGTAGACCAAGAATTGTTAATGAGTGAACAAATCTAGATTTGAGTCTAGAACAATCCTTCCATTTAGTCAAAGCTAAGTGCCAACAATACTTCCTCACTGAAGAACTAAACTACTCCTAGATTAGAGGCATCACTTCAAAGAATTACCTAAGAAATTGCACACTGTCTACTCACTCTTCTTTGTTCCAGTAGCATGCATTGGTTTCAATGCAGATGTGCATTTCTAAGCAAAGAAAAGAGGAAAAAAACCCCACCAAAACAAAACAAAGGAGACAAAACCAGGATAAAAGATCTCTTGTGACACAGATGAAAGCATGCACCTGCTTGTGTTCTCTGTTTTTGGCATGGCTAGCTGGAAAGACAGATTTGGAGACATGAGGCTTCCTTGCTGCTGTTTATTTTTTTTTGTGTTCAGTGAAATACAGCTTTGAGAAATTTTTTGTAAATGCAGCAAACTGCATCAGAGGAATACATGATGCCTCATAACTGAAACACCACAGCAACATAACATTGACTATTAGCCAGCAACATGAGACAATTCAGAAGAATATTGGAATTTTTCCTTAAAATATTAGTCCTGAGTATCTACGGCTCTGCTGCAATACTGTCACAAAAGCTATATTTTACACATCTTAAAATACTCAGAGATCCTAACAGGGGTGAGAAGCGCTCATTAAGTACAAAGCACTCTCTGTTAACAGGGTAATTTCCAGCTTGGATATTCAGTTTCATCTTGTTAGCAACAAAGAGAGAAGTACACGTTTACGGGAACAATTCTGTTCACCTTAGGTTATAGTGGAATCCAATTTAAGAACTGCATGGAGGTACATTGCTTTTACAAGGCATGTTCCCATGTTCGTAGGCAAATCTCTCTATTCATTTTACCTTTGTTACAGCAGCCAGAGCCAGTTGTGTGACAGGCAGTAACATCCTCAAAGATGCACTCGCTCTCTGTCCCCATGGAGTCGTCAAGAGGAGGTAACGGCAAAGAACAGTCACTGCTTCTCTCCATGTTGTTATAGAAACCAGGGATCAGGAACATAATGTTCTAAAATACAGAACAAAACCTTATAAAGCTAAGCTGACGCGCACAGCTTGGGGGCAAATGCTAACTATCTGTGTTTGCAACCTGATTCTCATGGATAGCCAGGCAAAAGTGACCCATGTGACTGATGGAGAACATACAAGTGTGTCGCTTTCTCCAGGCTACTCAAAATCCATCCTAGCTCCTCAGCACCGCAAGGCTTAGCAATTACAGCAAGGGAATTTGTCTGTCATCCCACAACTCACTCACCAAACACATAGAACACAGAGGTTTTGTGACAGATAGAAACAAGTGTAAAAGATGACTTTACAATTCCAATGGATATGGTACCAGATGCAGCAGTCTTTTGGGAGGGATTAAAACTCGTATCTTACCTTTCCCAACAGTTCTTTCTTCTCATAGCCAAAAAGCATTAAAGCAAAACTATCCTTGATGCCACAGATGGTTCCATCTGACTGGACAGTAATAAGACCACTGATAGTGGAGAAAACTACGACTGTAGCAGAGTAACAATAGCTTGTGAAAGCGCCTTCTTTGTCTGTCTGTGGAACACCATCTTTCTGCACTGCCGCTTGGTCCTCCTCCAGAGGACTCACTTGCAGCTTTAAACTGAGAGGAAACATGTTACCGTCTCTGGATCGGCCTACAGCTTGCTGGATCCTGAGGTTCTAAATTAAAGCAAAAAGAAAAAAAAAAAAGAAAACCTCTAACTAAACAAATGTTTTAGTTTTGTTTCAGTACTCATATAAAATTACACAGGAACGTTCTCAGGAAGGAGCAGGAAAAGAAAACCAAACCAATCCTGTGAATATCAAAATGAACCAACTCTGGTTTTTTAAGGATTTGGAATCCAGTGTTGAACTCCTGTATGAATATCCTGATGATGAAAAACCAGGAAAGTCCATGCTGCAGCTTTTCAGCAAATGAGGCATGAATAAGGCCTCTTTCAACTATCTAGCTGCCATGCTCATGGCATTTACAAGATATAGGTATTCTTCAGAGTTTCACTGCTCAGACAGACATGACTGAAACTGGCTAAAGAATTAAAAGGAATTTTAGGAAGCTGACAAAACAGCATGGTTTCTCAAAAAGACAGGATTGGAGAAAAGTGTTTTTTACCAGGACAGATTCCACAGTTGGGGCTGGGTCTCATTCCTAGTTAGGAAATACTCAGACAGCAGCTCCATAAATAAGCAGCACACCCTTTTTCAGGGGACTTATGCTTCTCTCTGGAAAGGCTTTCTTCTGTTACAGAAGGAGGGAAAACAGCGTGCACCTATGTTCCAAATGGGAAGGGTATGGAAGAACGTGGTTGATGCCTATACCATACCTTTGGGATTTTTTTGCCTAGAGGAGGAATCTGCACAGAAGGAATCAGGTCCTTTATGTAGAGCCCAACTACTTCTTCCAATGTTGGGTAGCCATGGAGATGGGCAAAAAGGAGGTCACATGATGTAATCTCTCCCTTGGGAAGAAAATTTACAGGACTATTTTAATTCTAGCATTTTAGCCACAGTCCACTCAATCCTTTAACAACAGTTTCTGCAAATATCCAATCCAGTGGCAGGAAGTTTCATTCTGTAGTCTCTTAGTGGATACAACTAACTCAGTAAAAGCAGACACAGCACAATGAAATACTCTGACATTATCAGGCAAAGGGCCGGCAGTTTGCCATAGGGGAGAAGCAGGAGAGTCCAACGCTCCTCATGGAACTTTCCCTCAGCAAGCTGATCCCTTCACAAGGGCACCCCTGCCACAGATAACCAACCCCCTGACAAACCGTCACTGTTCAAGTCTAAGATGTCCCCAGAGGAGAGACAGTGTGTTTTAATGTGACTTGTCGAATACATCAAGGTGAGGCACGTGGGAGAAATACGCGCAGGTCCTGCATGTGCGATCCTGGTTTCAGGCAGTGCTACGTACACACTTCACACTCACAAATAGTAAGGTGCCTACTGGCTTTTAGACAGGTTTCATTTGCACAAAACCCTCACACACTGCAGTCTGCTTTGATCATTAGGAAAATACTCACATCAACTCTGAAGGAAACAGAAGCCAAAAGTCTTTCCACTGGTTCCAGCACAACAACACAACGCTGGTTGTCCTTGCTTCTTATTTGCCTCAGCCAAACCAAGACAGGGATCTTCTCTTTGAGACGGCCTATGACATCCACCTTTCCATGGGATTCAGAGATGTAGTCATAATTTACTAACACTGTGGTTACTTAGCAAGAATTTCAAACAAGAATAAGATACTGAGTCAAGATATCTCCCCATCATTGTTAGAAAGACATTGTTTCTTGACTACTTAACTAATTTTTTATTGGAAGAAACACAGTTTTAATATAGAGATTAAAAGGTTTGCAAACAATTCACTGATCATACACAAAAGGTTGTTGTTGCTTTTGTATCTTCTCTCCCCGCTTCAGGAGGACTAAAAGGCAACTCCCCTTTACCATAATACATGTGCCAGTCTAATACCTTCCATTCAGCCTTTCAGAGATGCCTTATGTAGGGGATGTCCCACAGTGCTAATGAATACTCCACGTTAGTAACACAGTTCTTACTTTCCCCTGCAAAAATAGCCATTTAATTTATTTGGGAGGAGTTTATTTTCAAATCAGAAAATGTTTATTTATCTTAGAACCTGCAGTTTTCTTATCAAGCCTTTTATCATTTTTAAGTGGTTATGACAGAATAGGTTTATGAATTACACAGGGACTCCTATAAAGTACTTGGAATGGCTGTAGCTTAGAATTAATGCCTTTATCAGACATGGAATGGTAATTCAAGGTTTCATTGAATCAAAATTAATTTCCCCCCCCCATATCCAATTGAAGATTCAGAAAAATCAAGCTTTGAGATGCTAACAATTTCAGTACAAAAATAACACACCAGGAAGAATGAGAGCTCATTTTCCAAGTATTTTCTAGTGACATCTCCCAAACAACCCCGCTATAGGCAAAATATAAATTCCACTCTTTTGCACCAACTAGGGTGTTTTGCCACAGACATTTCACAGTATTTGACTGACTTGTAACTTTATAATATGCACAATGCAATTTAAGATAATTTAAAAATATTTTAAAAGACCAGACAATCAGGAACTTTCCCAGAATAGTTTTTTCCATGTTAAGCAATTATAGTGATTTTTGTTTTTTTTTTTAATCTAATGTCCTTTAAGTTCTGATTTGGTCAAGTCATCATGACTACACATGTTGGCAGCTGCAAGGCTTTCACAGGTGCCTCCCAAACCATCTTTTGCCCTTTGAATTCCCACATCTGCAAACTTTTAAACTAAACAGTCCTACAAATGACAGAATTGCCAAATGCCCACAAAGCTAAACATATCAGGAAATTATATTAAAAATGTCAAAAAAACCCCAAAACCCCAAACCAAAGCCTACAAAAACACTGTAATATGGTGGTGAATATTTACTTGAACATTTCACATACCACAGTTCCTGAAATCACTGACGAATGTTCATCAATTTCTATGTACTCCTCACCCACAGCTTCCCATGCCTCTTGACTGGATTTGGATATGAAGCAGGACAGCTTTTGACCAATGAGTTCCTGACTACTGCAACCAAGCAGCTTGCAGGCTTTGTCATTAGCCACTAGGATCTAAAAAAGCAGGGAAAAAAACCCCAAATCACCAACACAAACCAAAAAGAAAACAAAGAATAAAAGCTGTAAATTTTATTAATAGATCATAATCTCTTCAGGTTGTTGCTTTAATGTCTTATTATATCCCTTCCTCTTGGTGGAAATGGAGTGGTTCTTTTAAATTCTGAAAGCTTCAAAACCAGTTCCCTAAAGCTTCTTGTTCTTGGACATCCCTTGCCCAATGCAACTTCTTGGCTAATAGGGTTTGAGACACTGCTTTCCTTTTAGGTTTCCTGCTATCTTTTAACTGCCTACCCACTCCAGCCTCTTGGATTGTTTGAATAATTACATCCATGGAGGCAAAACTCAAAGCTGTATTTGCAAGCAAAGCCTGGGCAGAGCACAAAATTTTAGCCATACTTGAAGGCGTTCAATAATCACACCACTCACTGAAATACTTAAACCTGTGTTACAGACCAAGTCAGGATTAAATGCCTTTAAGATGGGTAACCCCAAACTGTCAGTTCAAGTTAAAAATTCCACAGCTCTTTAAAGTTTTCAGTACAGAAGCAGAGAAATTCTCTCCCTCCCAATGCGAAAGGCATATTTACTGGGTCAGATAAAGAGACCTCGTGCCACCACAAACCCATCCCAGGGCTGGGCACTTAAAAGAAGGCTTGAAGCACATTCTGATTTTCCTTTCTTCCCTCATTGCCACACCACAGCTGCAATCTTCTTATCTTCTTTATTCCCTTTTTCTGTTTGAAAAGAGACTCAAGACACCTGTGCTTCTGATATTTGTCTTTCATATTTTGCTGACTACAACCTGCATTGGAAATAAATGCCTTGTCAATCTTTAGGAGACTACTCAGCTTGAGCAGGCTATAAAATACCTTCATGATGCTCTGATTGCCTGCAGATACACGTAAGAATAACAGGCATTTTAGCCTGCCTGATACCATACAACCTTTGCCAGTTACAGCCTGCTTAGTTTAGCAGTCACTACTGGAAATACCTCTGTTGTGTTGACATCCACAGTGAAGATGGCTTTGTTTGGATTGCGTTCAGCAGCTGGGAGGTGCTGTCTGGATTCCTCCACAGCGAGGGCATGCAAAAAGGAGCAAGAAGCAGAACTTCCAATGGAAGTGGAGAGTGAGGCAGAATCCCACTGAGGCCACGAGTTACTAATTTTTGTGGTACAAATGTTATGAGCTGCCAGTGAAGATAAGCAGTAAGAGCTCCATTCCTCCCCTGTGAGAAGATGAAGAGCAGCTATGCAGTTACAACAGTCTACTACAAGGAGTACTAGAGGAATGACTAAAAAAACCTAGTTGTCAGCTGAAGCAACTGTCAAGTAATTTCAAAATTCTTTAGATTTTTTAAAGAAATTACAAGAAATTAAATAAATTAAAATAAACAAATCAGAAACAATTCTAAGAAACGTATATTTTTGAATTGCATTCACCAGAACAATTAAACACAGTCCATAGGCCAGAAGAAAACTGCCAGCATCTGCAAGATTCAACCAGACTAGTCAACTTTTATTTTTCACTTAAGTTAATAGAGTTTAAAAGGTTTTGAAATCTCTGAAGTTAAAATTGAAACTGTTATTAAATATAATTACTCTAAGTGTTCAAGCCCTTATTAAATACTGCATTAGTCAGAAGCCAGTTAATTAACTGTTCACAAGACATGACATTGAAATACTTGTGCCCACACCAACATTTTATGTTATACAACGCCAAATAATTGTTCTAAAATTTTCAAAGGTTCTGACTGGAAAAAATGTTTCCCCGGGAAGTGGCATCAGCAGATAAATGCCATTGCTCCACTCCCAGAACAGTGAGCGGCTTTGAAGGTTTAGCAGTAGTGGAAGAAGCATTTATGAAGAACTCACCACAAGGACATCTCTGCATTTATGCACTGCATACAGTATGAATATGCTCACCACGACAAAACAGCGAGACCCGTATCTGGAGGCATTGTAAACTGCAAAGCTCTTCCCCTCCTAACAGAATCCAGTATGACAACATCTTTCTCCCTACTTGGAAGTTTTTTAGAGAATAATAATTGGCAGGGTGGTCCAATAGCAGCCAATAAAGGTTGCCCAAGGACAAGTACAAGTGCAGAGCACCCATCCAGCAACGTGTCCCCTGTAAACTCTCCCAGCCTGCAGTAATCTATGGCTCAGATGCTTATTGAACAAGTGCTTTGTAGCAGCTACTTACTGCTTTTGCCTCTAGGTTTGGGGGAGGAGGAAGATCCGAAACCACCTGAAACACATCACCCTCACTGACAACACGTGAACTCAATCTCAAAATACTGTGCTCACCAGACAGAGATGTTCTAAGCCGGCAGAGTTCAGAGAGCTGACTTTTCCTGCTCTTGCTGGCCCAGGGGTAGGATTTACTTAGCTTATCAGAGTCATTCGGGTGAGCAAAGGCTGAGCCTACTGATGGAGGCTGCAGGCCCCCTTCAGAGGGGCTGT